TTGTGATGGCAACTATGACGGTGAAACAACCTGTTTAATTACTGCACCAGAAGTAGCTTAAGCACCGAAAGATGCCAAGGGACTCTACCTGCCCCAGGTCCTTCATCTCCTCGTGTGGCTGCGGCTCTCCACCAGCCATCAGGAAGAAGAAAGTCGAAGGCCCCACGCCCAGGTCGCTTGCCAGCCGGTCCTTGAATTCTGCTACCGTCTCGCTGACGCGAGGTTGTGAAGCGGTCACGCGTCCGCTCAGCAGCACACACTGTGGCAAGCCAGGGGTGCAGGGCTCAGCTTCCGGATAGGCTGCTGCATCCTGCTTTAACCAGGCATTCTCATGGGATATGCCTTGTAAAATCAAGTCGAACTTCACGAATGGACAAAGACCTTTGTTGAAAAGCTGTCCGACACTTCGAGCAACAGCTTTGGCACTCTCTTTGACTCTGACGGCCAGATCCTCCTTAGCTTTCTCCTCGCAATCCTCATATCGCTGAGAGAACTGTCTTCCCATGTCTCGGAGGACCGCGTCCACCACGAAGGAGCTCAAGCTCGGGGTTTTTTCCGAAGCACTGGGCGGGCTCGGGCTGTCTAGCGCCAGGAGGATGTCGGCCAAAGCGACGGCAGTAGAGGAGTGCTTCAAGCCCGACCAGAGGCTGTGAGCGACAATACAGTCGGCAACGTGCTTGACGAGATCTACGTCTCCACTTGCCAGGTTCATAGCTACGTCGCCTTCAGCCGCAGGTTTCCGAGCTGCCTCTGCAAAGCGCTCCAGGTTTCCATGCGAAACCTTGTTCATGAACAGAGTTACCCGAGACTGCACGTCCATGGCAGCGAAGTCTACCACCGCGATTTGCTCCATGGCAGCGAATGGAGTGCACAGCAACCCAGACCCAAAAACACAAAAGCTCAGGGCACAAACGGCCTTGGACATGGGGCAAGACAGGAATGCAGCCTCACAAGGCATCTCACAGCTGGGCTCCATGCACAGTCAGAGACTTTCCTGCGAACTGCTCGACGTGCAGGCGTTCGGATCCACCTCAGTGTGGTTTTTCGACAAGCCGAAAGCCGAGACTCAGCCGGCCAAGCTAAGCAGGGTGAAAAACACACAGGGATTTTCTTCACAGCGGTTCCCACATGCAGGGAGCAAAGGGCTGGGTGCTTATGGTAGCGAAATTGGCTTGTAGTCCCAGATTGGAGCAGTTTTGTCCTTCGAGATGGCTCTTGGATGCTGTTGGCGGCCGAACTGATGGCAAAGCATTTTCAAGATGCTGAGAACCGCTGCTTGACAGGTTGATTGAGGACCTCAAGGAAATGCTCGGGTTTAGCCAGGTGCTTAAAATGACGACTCACCTCGTCTGAACAGCTTGAACGTGATGTGGCACCGCCGGAGAATTGCCAAATCATCAGCACTCCCTCCCGACAGCTTCAAAAACCTAATTCCCAGGTAATTGCCATGCCAAGCGGAACCCGCTCACAGCTTTTCCGCACAAGTGCAACTTAAGTACACAACTGTGTCCAAGTTATTGGAGTTGTGGCCGCAATAGGCAAAATATGCAATGGACCCCTGCTTTACCCGCGATAGTCTTCGGTGGCCTGCGGGCTGACAACCCGAAAACTGAGTATGACTCTCTATTAACCTGGACTTAAGTCCGCAATCAAGTCTCTTCAGCTGAAGGGTCACATTGCATAAATCGAGGGGTCTGCTAAAGAAATCTCGCCGACTCGCACTCCCGGCCAGCCAAAATACTTTGAACCCTTACTCAGCTTTACTCCGAGACCTCATCGAGGAAACCTCGCAAAATGAAGCTTATGATTCCGCGAAGGCGGCATCCGTGAGAAAACAACCTACAAGTCCAATATGAATCTTTCTAACGAGGATGTCTTTATCTTGGTATCTATCTGTCCTCGTGTCTGTAGGCTCCGACGCCTCTCAATCAATCGTTCTGGCCTTGTCCATCTGTGTCTTTATCTCCATCACTGCATGGCTGTCGTTGTGGCCTTACGCTCTCCGCCTAAGAGTTCCCATATTTCTTTGCAGCTCTCCCGGCTCTTGGCGCTGCAGTTCACCTGCACCATGTCCGTCTCTATCTTTTTAAGGGGCCTCTGCCCCTGAGCTGTCAGTGTCATATGCTAGACAGACAAGCCAAACCAAACAACGAACAGCACAGCTTAGTACGAACACAAACTATATCGAGACACCGGACAGTGAAAAGTTTACACATATGTATGCGTGCATGCATGCATATACGTATGCTAATGAAAGGGTGAATGTGAATGTCTGTGTCTATGCCTCGTTGTTGTCTATGTATACGTGTATGTGTCTGTCTGTAGGTATACGGGTATCTATGCATACTCATATGAGAAAATATGCGTATGTGTATGTGTACGTATATGCATGTATGTATGTGCTTCTGCGAGTCCATGACCCCGACCTGGGAGGGCCTACAATTTACTAAACGGCTTCGGCAGGAAAGCTTCGGTACCGGCTGTATGTTTGGGAATGGGGATTGAATTAACAACAGCCCCTTCTCCCAAGAGCACCGTGACGCCTCACACCTTGAATTTTTCTGAATTCATGACGTTGAACATGGCTGGACGAAAGCGCAATCATTCTACGAGTGTCTGACTAGCAAAAGCCCAGCCGCTCAGTCGACGTGGGCACTGAGCGACGTGGACTTTGTGCATTCGAAACTCAATCGGGAGCAGGACCGTAGGATCACGCTGTGCAGAAGTTTTGCGGCTGCAGATTCCTATGCTAGGCTGAAAGGCTTAGGCCGCGAGTATCACCTGGATCTTCATTTCGAAAGCCTCGCCGATGCGAAATCGAGACATGTGGAGGCTAAGAGAAGCAGGAAAGAGTCTGTCAAACTGCTGACACAGAGACCCTCCTCCCTGGAGCGCGAAAAGGGCGCGTTCCACGAAAGATCAACAAAGCGAACACAGAAACCTGTTGGCTCGCAGTGCCCCTGTCTTCTACAGTATTGAGTTGATTGCCCTCCACAAATGGCAAAGACTTGGAAGTGGTCGGGTACCCAAAGCTCAGACTAGAGCCACAGACAGGCTTCGTGACGCAGTTTTGAAACACTCCAAACTTAAGCTCAGAATTGTCCTGAGTCTACGCTATCCTGTCTGCCCCGAGATTTTGGCAGAGCCTGTCACGCTGGGTGTCCCTTGGGGGACCCTCCTCTTTGTCATAGATGTGCCACTGAGCTTTCAAGACTTAGATGACAGTTCGATCATAGACCTCGAGACAAGTTTGGCTCCTTTCAACTCCATCATACTAGAATACCCACCCTGCAGCGGTTGTTCGTGCTGCTCATCTTCGAAAACTCGTTCTCCAAAGAACCGGCCTATATCTTGGGAGACTCTACAGGAGCGCTGATTCGCACGAAGGTCTGTAAACCAATTGTTTTCGATTGGGAGGCATCATTTGGCTGAGCATTCATGGCAACTTGATAAGGCTGGATCAAGTGCTGACGTGCATGCATGGCTCTGGGGTTTGCTGCCACGCTTGCTATTGCGAGTACTATCGCCGTGGTGTTCGTCCGAATGTGTTCTCATCGTGCTTATCCTTGCGAACAAGCAATTTCATCACTACCCTTCAGGATTGACTGCTACTACTACTACTACTACTACCACCACTACCACTACCACTACTACTACCACTACCACTACTACTACTTCTTCTTCTTCTACTACTACTACTACTACTACCACTACTACTACAACAAAGTACTCTGCTTCTGCCACTGCCACTGCCACCACTGCTGCAGCTCTGCTACTGCCGCTGCCTCTACTGGTGCCAGTGCTGCTGGTGCTGCTACTTCCTGCTACTTCCTGCTACCCTTGCTACTCCTACTACAACTACTACCACTACCACTGCTACTGCTACTGCGACTACGACTACGACAGCTACGACCACCACTACCACTACTACTACTACTACTACTACTACTACGACTACTACTACCTCTGGTCAGTGCGGTTGAAGTTCATGCTATTGACTCGTGCTATGTCTATCAAAATTACAGAAAAAGGCCTGCGGAGGTGCCCAGCATGAGTGTGAAGAAGTGTAGATAGAGTTTTTGCCCGAACAGAACACTCCTCGGTCTGTTCAGATTAAACTGCCTCGGCCCATTGCTCTGCTTTTGTCCAGGTTAATCGCCTCACCCTGCGAATCTGCACATGCAAGTTGAAGCCTTCCTGAATCGACACACGAAATCATCCTGATTGAGAGGCGCATGAGAGAGCACACCCCTACCCCCGAATTGCTGAGTTTCCAAGACAGCACCACCATCTGACACAAGAGGTACAGGAGCTTGACCCTGTGTTTGGTGTATACTTCTTCCTCGCCTATTCAGCTACATCAGGCCAAATCGAGTGCATGGAAAAGAGGTGTCAGGATTTAGCTGAGACACGGGCCAAGACTTGCAAAATTCCAGATGTAAGCCTCAAGAGATGTCGACTGCAAGATGGGCTCTGATCTGCTGCCACAACCGGCCAGATCAAGCGCCCTTCCCCTGCCGGCGAAATCTCTGCACCGTCGCTGTAAGGAGCGATGGGTGCCCACCAGCCCCACAGCAACACGCCACGGCAGTCGGCCCAAAGGAAAAGCCAGCTCGCAGGATTCTTCAAAGCTAACATCACGTTGCAGTTCAAGCGATCGTTTCATGAGTACACATGCTTCGGCTATTGGCTCTAGTCAATGAACAGTGAAGACGTGGAGGCATTAGGGGCTTCAAATTCTATTAATCGGGCACCAGGAGTATTCTTTGAATCGAGGAACTGTCTCCAGACCTGGCGACGCCTATGCAAGCTCCACTGCATGGGACGTCCTATCAGAACTACAGTAACTAATAACAAATACAATTGCCCGGGTTGGAGCAGCCTGGTAATGGGCGGGCCTCTAGCAAAAAAGGTGAGGGCCTGAACTGCAGCTGCAATGCATGCTGCAAGCGGGGCAATTAAAAGCATCCACCGCATTCACAGACCAGCAAGAGGCTTCCTCAGCTAGACTGCCGACCTCCCAGCTCTCCCAACTTATTGGCGAGGCGGCCAAACCACTGAGCATTTCCTTCTCGACCGGAGCCATCCCGAACAAATGTTTTCCATGCCAGAAAACAAGCCCGAAGCTGGACGGTGCCGTTTGCACCTGGCATGAAACTCATGATTCCTGCTTGCCAGCTACGGATGGGCGTCAGGATCTTCGCAACGACCTCGTCATCTCCGTATAGGTCTGAAGCTTCATCAATTGTGCCGTACTGCTCAAGCAATGTTTTGACAAAGGTCTTCGCATACATGGCAAGCAAATCACGCTGCTCGCTCCGCCCCATAATCTTGTGAAGTGCCGAGGCATCCACTTGGAAGTAGTGTGTGGACTGGTCTGCACAAGTCATGCGCCCCCGGTGCTCCCAGGATATCCAAAGAGAGGCCTCACAAGCCCTTTGTTCTGGCAGCACGTTCTCATAAACTTGAGGTGCCTGGTCCCAAGAATATTGCATCCTTCCGCTTTGAATGAAATACATGGCGGTTCCCGGCATTCCTGATTGGAAAAGGTCTTCACCGTATATGATGCTGGACTCCCGTAGCGCTTTGTGGCACATCCGTGCGACGTCTGCCAGGCTAAGGTAAGTCAGGTATTTGAACACTCCGTGCTGTTCAAGCACAGGAAATCCCACCTCTTCCTGCAAGCGGCAGAGGAGGTTCGCTGGCAAGTTCTGAAGAACCTTGATGTCGGAGAAGACCACCTTGCCAGTGGCTTTGCCAAGCCCTCTCTGACGGATACAGGCTAGGACCTCGCTGGAAAGGTCGGCAGACACGCGCTTGTCTCCCACATATCGCCGGACGAGCTGGTTTTGCCGCGTCTCCTGTGCTGTCAGGCTCCGCAACTTCGAGAAGGACTGGTTGATGGTACCGAGGAAGAAACCTCGGGAGAAATGTTTTCGATATCCGACGAAGAAAGCAGTAGACTCTGTAGACATGTTGAAATATTCGAAGGCCGAGCGGCTGAAGGCAATCAGGCCCGCCAGGCAAACCACCACAGAGAAGATCCGCTCAGGTGTGTTCACGGCTGAGACGTCCATGGCGGCCGGAGTGAACTGGGTCAGCGCCTCAGCTTCAACGGAACAGGCTGCGCTTTCAAGTGCCTAGCTTGACGCCAGCCTGACTAAGCAAATAGTCAAATAGTCAACCTTCGAAAGGCCCGCTCAAGGATTTGAGGGAGTAAAACTTCCTGAAAGCTTCAACCTTAACCAAAAAGACATTGATGCTAAATTTCAGCACGCACACCCACTGCACCGAGGTCCTTGGCAGTCCAAGCATCCGACATGGCTTGTGCCACAACCAAGTCTTCGTCCCACTCGTACTTACAACGTGCTTGGTGCGATGCTTGGAGAATTGGGAAAGGAGCTCGTAGGATCATTTCGGGCAAAACCCAGGAAGTTGCTTAAAGGTTTACCTTCATCCCGGCGCTCACAGCTACTTGGGCACACCCGATAAGCATCCGGCACTTCTGGGTGGTTTTGGAATGTGGCGGCCCCTGCTACCCCGCTAGGCACACCTGCCGCCACAGCCACAGAGAAGTGTACTCTACATAGGCTCCTCTGTTCATTATTGTGGCATCACGGGTCATCATCAACAGCCAAAGCCATACCGGCAACTGCCGGTGGTGCACTCACAGCTTGTGCCGTGGGAGACCAGAACCAATACCTTGCGCGCAGCTGTCCTGCGTCATGAGGCGACCTCGTAACATGAAGTCTTCCGAAAACCGCAGCTGTTGAAGACATCAGGGACTTGGCAGGTGCTGCCGGGCAGCTGCTCTCATCATCACATGCCTTGAACATCCCTCGGACACCCTTTGGAAAAATAGATCATGAAATTCCGAAAGGACACACTCTGGTCCACAATGGCTCTAGACTCTAAAACCCTAAACTCGAAACTTCAGCAGGGGCTCATGTAGAAGTAGAACCATCCTGCAGAATTGCTGAACTCCTCGCCCCTGGATGCCGCATGAGCCTTCACCTCAGGCTTTTTGAGTAAGGACTGATAGCATATACAATGCCACAATCTCTTAGCCTCCGTGGACCTATCCACAAACACAGCGGCGAGCGGCCCAAGTGATCTCAGCACTTGATATACCGCCCAGGGCATACCAAGCACAGCCTACGAAGTGGCACAGCAGAGCGATGACGCCCAGGTGTTGCAGCACACCTGAAAAGCACAGGCAACTACTCAAGAACCCCACCCTGCCAACGCCGGAGCCGAAACTGGAACAAGCAACAATTTGCTTCACTGTCGTAATTTCATCTCACAGCATGGCTGGGACGACCACAAATCAAAAACAGCACAATCTAATTTTGCGCACGCAGTTATGCTGGACTCGGATAATGAAATCGGGCCTTGTTGTACCTTGACATACGGTAGGGATGTCAGTTGTAAAGACCCGGTGCCTGCAAAGGTGGCAAAGTAGACAGAAGTCCATTCCAGTTCGTACCTTGCGACAGCACAAAGCTATGCCCCGATCTTGGAGCATGCAACTGGCTTTGCCAAGGGCTTTTGGCTCAGATCAATCACGGCCAGCACTGCACAGTCAACAAAACCAGGCAATCTTTTGGGCAGGTGCTCCAAAGTGAAGAAGAGCTCCCGCAAGATCGTAAATCGATCTGACATCTTCCTCAGCGGGCTGCACTTCAGATTCGGGCGACCATGTTTCTGGTAACCCTGCTCGTCGCTCGCGCACTTACAAAAATTGTTGTTTCGTTCAGTGGCCTCCAGTGTGTTTGCAGGGTGTCTCGGATTCGCGAGCCTGACAACTCTCCCAAACCTCCTGAAAATAGATGAGCTTCAGCAGTCGGAGCAGACGAAGGTTTCGCAGCAGGCGCAGAAGGGTCAATGCATCGACAGTGTCATCCTCCATGATGAAAAGCGAAGCAGCCTCAATTGAAAGAGAACGTCTCTGCCGTTGCAAGCCCTCAATGCGACAGCTCCACACAGTTGCGGGTTGATGATTGCAGAAGGCTCCGCTGTCATACCTTCATGCTTGGCTCTCCAAGGCAGCTGATGGGGACGCTATAACGCTACAGGCCTGCGTCATGTCAGAATCTTTCTAGACCCTTGCAGCATGCAAGGACCTGTATCAACAAGCCCAGGGTTCCAATTCAGACGAGCAACATCCAAGACGATCATGGATAAGTCTGCCATGAACCAATGTGTCACATAGTTGCGTGCTATGCGCCTGAATCTCATCTCCACAAAGCCTGCCACAGACAGACGCAAAAAGGATGCAGCTGCGGAATGCTTTCGACAGTGTGTATGGTAAATCTGTAGCGCTTCTGCTGGAGAAGCTTGATATGGGATATCACGAGAAACACGCGGCTGGTTCTCCAATCCATGCATCAACCCTAATGATCTTTGATGACCCATTGGCTTATGACGGGAAGCTCCAAGGGTTGGAACAAGGACTTCAGACCGCATCGAAACAGCTTTGCCGTGGAAACTCAACTTGATAAAACGCATCTCACGGCCAGGCCCAAACGTATACAGGCAATGCTTCGTGCAAGCACCAATAGTGTTAATGCTAGTCAGGTGTCGCTGGCAAGAAACATCATCTTCGAGTTTCTGCATCGGACCTATTGGACGACAGGCCTGAAATGTTAAGATGCGATCGGGTCTTGAATGTTCCATTCGCAACAGTTGAAAGAGCTCTACAAGGCAAGCAACAAGTGGATCATTCATGCGGGCTATCTTCATGCTCGGATGATTCTCAGTGGGCAGATGCCCTTGCCTGTGCGGACGTCCAGGTAGCCCCGAAAGAAAGAAACGAACAGGTCCACCAGCCACACCCCGCTGCTGATAAGCCTCAAGCTAGCTTGGTCGGCAGAGGCTTCGGCAGAGGCCGACATGAAGTATCCAACATCTGGACCGGTGACATAGGAAAGTATTAACCAAGGAACGAAATACTTCAGCGCAAAGCTAAGATGTGCACATGCGGGTGTTCGTCTGTGTGTTTTTGCGCATTTCCAAGCTCGTGGATGCATGCAAAGATGCAAGTATGCTTCTATCTATGTACCTGCACATGCACGTGCGTGTGCACATGGTATTTACGCGGTTATGGCTGTGCGTCTGTACCCAAGCAAGTATGCACACAGGTGCGAAGCATGCGCAAGGCAAATGCCGTCTTGTCTGTGCCATTGCGATGTGCATGGCCTCGTGTCCATGACCAATGCTGCTGCTGCGACATGTCTGCGTACACTTGACAACGAAATACAACTGCAATCACTTCTAAGCTCTTCGTCAAAGTAGAACAGGATAATGCTTGCAAACGACAGCGATAGGAACAATATACACATGCACAGCACAGAGGAGGAGGATGTCACTAGCATCCGATCGACCTCCCTCCATCGTGGAATAGCTTCATGGGCACAGGCATCTACGATGAGCCTGTGCGACTTGCTTTTTGGCATATTCGGTGGTCCTCAACCTTCCTGTCAACGAGATGGTGTGTCTCTTTTGCTGCAGTACAGAATGTATGCCAGCACGAGGCATTACGCAAGCTTCAAGCCGGCAGCACGTCGTATTAACGCCGATTACAAGATGTGTAGGTCTTCATACACAGAAACTGAGTGTGAGCTTTTTATGACGATGAACCCATGGGCCGAGAATGGTGCATTGCCCAAGATTGCTCAAGCCACACACTTCTGAAAGCAATGGAACCCGAAGACCGCCTGCTCCACTGCCTACAAACAGCGCCAAGAGTCTCCAATGTCTCTGGAATGCCAGCACGGTCGACAGGAAACGCTGACAGCACAGGAATCATCAATGCCTCCAAGAGGGAGGGGAGGGATGGAGGGAGACAAAAACAAATGTGTATACATTTTACAAGTAAATCGATATAGTATGTACGTATATATGTGTCACATACGTACAAAACAGAACAGGGAAGAGAGACAGAGAGGGAGAGGAAAAAAATGGCGGGCAAGAGGCAAACCAAACAAACTGTGTCAACTTGTTGTTGGCTTCGTCGTCCTCATGAGTCATGACACTCCCTCATGCATACTGACCCTGTCCAAGTCGCATCATGGACGATCGTGATGGTGCAGATCGTGTCCCACAGCAAGCAGCGCATGCTGCTTGGCCTCGAAACAGTTTCGGTCGACATACTCGGATCGTCCAGCATGGTTATGACATGTTCTAGCCTTTGTGTGCAGAATGAACTCCGTTCGATCAGAGATCACACGATGACACACCTATTCGTGAGCAAAATAGACAACAATGTTCCGTAATGTTGTGATAGCACGCTTCCCTTTCCGTCGATGGAACACGTGCAATACAGCCAACAATACTGCAGATGATAAGGCATCAAGCTTGGATTTGTTGTACTTGTCAGACGACATGATTGACACCCCGCTGCCCAAGTTTGCCAACTTGGCAGCATCCCAAGAAGGTGAAGCTGAAAAGACCAGCTAACAATTAAGAATGCTCACATGAGGACCTCATCACAGCTTTCTGCAGCAGCCCTTTCTCAAGTACCTGGAGATGGGATGGTAGTCGAGTTGCGAGGACAAGCTCATTCTGCACAAGGCATTCGTTCTCGAAGACTTGCTACACATCGCTTTTGCCGTTACGATGATGTGCGGCGTAATTGTCCGTCCTTCCTACATGCTACGAAGCCTCTTCTCTTTTTGAGGGCTGCGCAAGTTTTTCCATCCACGATACTGCAGCCACTGCCACTATCGCTCCCAGTACGTGCCAGATCCACTGCCGGCACGACAACTACACTGAGCTGATTCGGGTCCCTTTCAGGGTCGGCACCATCTGACCCGAGCGGATGGAGGATTTCTGAGACAAACGCCCGATGAAGTCCTTGGCTGTGTCTTCGGATTCTGGCGCGGAGGGGACTGGCAGCACGTCGGCTGCTGGCTCTCAAATCCACTGCATGCCGAGGCGCTTGGCCAAGTCCGCCGGCTGAGGCTTTGGAGACCTGTCCTCGAAGGCCGAAGCGCACAAAGCCAAAGCTTCGTGGGCTGTTGGGGTTCAGGTTCATGTCTTTGTACTCGGGAGTTGCTGGTCGGAGCACGAGGTCTGGCAAGGTCAGGGGGGGTTCTGCGCACAAGTGCTTAGCCGACATTGAGGCAGCAGGAGAAATGCAGGACAGTGTATTCGGCTCGGCATCTTGACAGTTCAGCCTGAAAGATGCACGATTGTCACGAAGTCCGAAACCCTGAGTGTGTAGCGCTGTGGCATACCGAGCCCTTGTCTTGTGGATGGAAAAGGTTGGGCCATCGCGTGTCTTGAGATTGCAGAATCAGAAATCGGCCCTCATCAACGATTCCTTGCAAGTTCAATTCAGCGAGCGGGTTGTAGAAAACACCATGCCCTCTCTCAAGATCAAACCTTAGCTACTGCATATCCCCTACAGAAAGTATGGTTGCTATCGTGCTGCGAGAGAAGTCATCGTTGGTCCAGACGGAATGTAGCTCAATTCCTCTTGGATCAGGTATACTGACCTGACAGGGCTGTTCAAGGATTAACAGCCGCTTGACCAGCCACAAGTGTGAGTGACTGCTGTGGCATAGACGTGCTACCAAGATAGCTCCCAGTCTTACGGATGCAGTCACATAAGAACTTCTTGCAGCTCAGCCACGCTAATGCTCATGCCACTGACACTGGTCTCAGAGATGCCGTGGGGAATGAGTGGTGCAAAACCATCCCTCTTCCTGCGTGGCTTCTGGTGGCTTTGATTTCAGCGGCTTTTCACACGCCCGGGCAAGCGCAGCATAGCGATGGGCATGGTGCAAGCTTATGATAGTTTCAATGATTTAGAACGAAGCGCCCGTGATGCTATAAGCATGAGACTGGGAACCAATCCGAGGCTTTATTAAGTGTTTTTGTAGCGATCATCATGCATCTCATCATAGTCAACTCAGAACATCTTCACCAGCATGTTGTGCTTCAGCATCCTCACCATAAGTGTGCTTTCTTGGCCAGGATTCGGAGACTCCGGAAAGAGCAGCGACGTCTGGGGCGATGGGGCAAATCCCGTCCCGTCATTGTCACTCGCTTCAGAGGCCGGCCCAGTAGACTCGTCCTGCTGGAGAGCTTAGGCGCAAGCCTGTAGAGTCTGAGGTTTAGGGCAGTTTAGGGTTAGAGCACCAATCACATCAGACATTGATGATTCTTTTTGCTGGGAGAGTCCTCATTCGCTTCGTCCTCTTGCACCTTCCACAGGTCCCCTTCCCATGGCGACCCTTCCGCGGGAGTTGTCATGGGATTCAAGGTATCCGTGCCCGGCGGCTTCGGCGCCACACTGTTGGTGCTGGCCTGGTTCAGAGGGGGCCCGAATATGTTGCCTACCTGCATGTGCATTTGTAAGTGGATGCGTACATGCATGTCAAGCAGAGTCAGGGAATTGGAATTTCAAGATACAGTCGAAGGAGAAGCCAAAACGTTGGAGTTCGCGATTCCACGAGGCCGGCAATCCTCCACCCTCCCCGAAAGCCCTGAACCACCCATAAACTCCAAACTCCGCAGCCACGACCCTTCCTCCCACCTTGCTGGCTCCGCGAACGACAACTCGGTTGCTGTTCTTGCTGACCTCTCGGACCACCGAAGCCTCCGGAGGCCTTGCAGCTCAGAGCTGGTGTCGAGTCCCTTTTCCGCAGCAGTGCGGAAGCTGAGGCGAGCAGGCTGTCAGGGTTAGACGGTTAGAGGCTTCAGCTTGCGATCGGAGCGCAGGAAACCTTAAAGACAGGCAAGGACAAGCAAGCTGCACAAGCCTTTTGGATCCTTTTGGGGTTTGCAACTCCCGCCTGCCGGCGAAAAACTCTTCCATGTCCTGCATGGTGGCTACTAGAACAGGGGCCTAAAAGGGTCTGGCTTACATCTGAGTCCATTCGAACAAGGATTTGGAGGTCAGGAAGGTCCAGGTTTCATCTCATGCAACCGCCCAACAGTCTTGGAATCGATTGAGGGTCCTCCTGGACCCTCTTGAGTTGCCCTGCGAGGAGGATCTCATACTCATTGAGCAGCGACTCGCCAAACTCTCGCAGCCGCTTGGCAGTGAACTCCTTTGCAGTTGGCATCTTCCGGACCTCTTTGAAGTCACGGTCAAGGCCTACGATGGCTAGGCAGGCTGGAACATCTTCCTTTAGGAGCCAGCCACTGCAGCGAAAGGCGGTCGCAAGAACAGGAGGCTGCGCATCGAATTATTCAGCTTTGAGGTCAGACCTCACAGCAGGGATTGGAAGTTTGCCTTGTAACAGCCAGAAGCGACTGAACCCGCATGCTTCTCAGCGAGAAGAGTTGACAGCAGAAATGGCTTTCTGAATCACCAATCGACAGGTTCTTGAATGTGGCAAAACCTTTAGGTCTAAACATCCCTAAACTGAGTAAACCACCGAAAGCTACTGACTGGCACCGCGCAAGCTCCCAAGCAAACCCGCAACTCCCTGAATTCACACCGCATGTGCAGCGTCTTGGTGCGGTGCTTTCCGTGGCATGAAATCCGGCACCTGAACGCAAAGCAGCCAACTTTGCGAAGATGCTCTTGAACATGAATTGCTTGAATCCGCGATGCTTGAGGTTCCTGAGGCTTGAGGCCAGCCGCCAGGAGATCCATCAGATCAACACTACCATTATGATCGAATATCGCGCCAGAACTGCCAGCACGCGCTGCAAAGCCCATCAGCAGCACGTATGGTTACTGCCACGACGATTCATTAATGTCCCTGTAGCTGCTCTTGAAATGACCAGTAGCAGCAGCAAGCAGCAGCGGCAGCAACGATCACCTCAGGCCTTCCTCGTGAGTCAGACTTCTGACAATATGGCGAGAGCCACAGTTCGCATTCCACTTCTTCTTCCTATTTACCAAGTGGTGTCAAATTCCTGCACCATCAAGCTGAATCAGCGCCTCTGGTTCAAGGCCCACCGCTCAGTGGAAGATCACGGACACGTCCTGCGGCGGTTGCAGCATAGCGAAACCGCAACCCGAAACTCGAAACCCTGAGGACCGAGCCGGAGGTCCGGAGAACGATCTCTGCATGGCTCTGGAGCCTCGAATCGGAAAGGCTCTGCGCGTGTTCGACAGCTCGAAGACTCTTGAGCCGCAAATGACAGAATTCGGACGGTCCTTTGGCCTCGCTGTTAGTCAGATGACAACGAAGCCGAAGAAGGGATGCCCTCAGTGGTCTGCTATGATGGGCCGACTTATCTGCAAACCAGGGAGAGGGAGAGGGAGCGAGCGAGGGAGGGAGGATGGGAGAGAGAGAGAGTGAGAGAGAGAGGGAGAGAGAGAGAGTGAGAGAGAGGGAGGGAGAGAGAGAGAGAGAGAGAGAGCAGCCACTTCAGTTTCGAAAACCCCTTTCGGCCTTTCAGCCTTTACGCCTCACGAAACCCTAAAAATATCCACGTGCCTCGTTCCTCGGCGATCCTCGGGTCTTCAGCTGCCTGGGGTCCCAAGGCGGTTTGATGATTTTAGGCTTTCTGAGTTGAGGGCTTATGGGCTTCGGGGTTCCTTGGAGGCCCGGGAAGGTCGCCGCGGATCAAGGTAGCCGCAAGACTTGGCAGGATGACAGGGTGGAAGGAACGAAGAACTTAGCCAGCTCTGCTCGAAGGCTTTGACAAACGAAGAGTTCATTACGTCAGACGAGGCGGGCTTCCTTTCGTTGAGAGACGGGCCTTGACCTGTCCGAACATGTGAAGGCAAGCGGCTGTCTTCTGGCCGTCAACGGCTCAATCACACTTCCACATTCGACAAAGAGGTTTGCACCTGGGGATTTCATTTAGGACAATGCGAAAGTCTTGTTGTCAAGTGGTGACGAATGTGTGATGATTCGTTCGACTAGACGGCACCTACATCCGGTAGCACAACTAACAGCTATGGCGACTGAAACTTGATGCCTCGCTGCCCCTCCCTTGAACAGTCTGGGCCGCAAGGCAGAACATCAGTCTGGTATCATGTCCTGTGTGACTATGTGACAATTCATCATGGTGAAGCAATGCATGTGGACGCATGCTGTGGATCATCTCGAGATTGAACGCTCGCTATTGCACCGAATCAGGTTCCCAGCTAATTCGACAAAGGCAACCGAACTCTGGCCTGGAAGCAGCGTCTGGAATTGTTTCATGGCACCTCCAACGTGCACTCGGTCACGGTGGCCGTGAGTTTCTGCTCTAAACTTCTTGACATGAATAAAAGGGCTCAGCCTGACATGCGACAGCAGAAACCGCTCGAGGCTCCAGCGCAGAACCCGTGACTCCTGACCCCGACACCCTACCTACGCCCTACGCTCCATCCCTAGAAAGCTAACGCGGCACCGCTCTTGCCTTCCGTGGAAGGTCCATCATTTTGGATCAGAGAATTACCAGCAGCGGTTGGCCGGATGGAAGAAACATAGCAACACTCTGTGTGTGTGTGTGTGCTTCCAAGTGGTCTTTTGTACAACTGCTTTCTTGCTCCCTCCGGCACTCCGTGTCGCCTCAAGAGTGGAAGTGTCCAGATTTGGAACACAGCTTCGGATCTCGAAGCATGCACGGGGATGTCCGCATAATTGCAAATCAACGGCCTCTGTCCTCTACGAGGTGAGAGCCGCACTTAGTGAGAAAGGCTGTATGCCCGTTCACCTGCATACGATGTGGCTTGATCCTGACAACCAATCAAGAACGTTTCTGGAAGGGTGCAGGCAATTAGGACTGCCCTTGGTAGTCTCCGATGCTTCGGGGGCTTACGGCGTGTCACTCGTGTTGCACCGTGCTGTTCACAAACATCGTAGGTGCAACCTGCTCTCACCGCTGACCTTGCTTGTGGTCCAACCCTTGCTGCATAACCAAAAGTCGTCCCTACACAGATGCACATAAGTCTGCAGGTGTTCTGAAATGGACTACTCATCAAGGCTGCCTGCGCGTTCCAGACATCCCCCCTTATCACTCATCCTTCATCCTGTCAAGTTGACCACGAAATTTAGCAGACCTTAGCATAAGCTGCCTGGCCAGTCGAACACTCAGGCAGTCTTGAATCCGGCCCTTTGGTCGGGAAGGAGTCGCTTCGCCGCCGTCTTCTTCCGGAGGAAACAACATTCCTACAGAGAGGGAGTCTTATTGTATTTGTCTATCTCATCTTGTACTATACTGTAGGAACTCTTAAGGCGTTGGCTCGAGAAGCGGACGGCTCGAGAGCTCAGGGCTTCTTCGCCCCAAAATAAAACCTCCCCAGAATCTTTCGTCGTTTGATACAAGATACCCTGGATGAGACCGTGCACGAATAAGGGACTCGGGTCAAAGGGAGTGGTGGCTTTGGATCCGCAAAACTTGCTACAAAGAAAAAACTCAGAAAGCCTAAGAGGTGACAAGACCGATTGCAAGGTCGATACGAGTACAAATGCCCATTCACATAATTTCATGTCAGTCATAACGCATTTACACATAGTAGTTGCAACAGTGTAGCGTATCAATCGTGACGATTTTGGTGGTGTTATACTGCTGCTATAGACTCGGCTACAACCGACATAACTCAATCAAATCACCAGCGCTTGTCATGAAACGAACGCATGATGCAAAGCACAGCAACATCAAGATCAGAACTAGTCTCTTTGTGGCCAGTCGCATTTTGCTGGATATCTCACATCCATCCAGGGCCAACAGAGCCAAGGTCAGGGTTTGAAAAAAAAACAATCTCAGCCTCGATTGAGGAAGGGCCAACAGAGACCCTTCGATCGTTGGTGCTTCGCTTGTGCCACCGCCTGGCTAGGACCGCTTATTCGTGGCTTGGGGCTAGGCGATACACACCCTCTTCACGCTTTCAGGGTTGGATTTGAGGAGTTCAGGCCGAAGGCTGCCAATGTTCCAAGATTTCAACGAAGTCAAAAACCACTGGCATTGCTGGCTCAAAGCGTGGAAACTGTAAGGAAAATCAGAACCACTCAGAAAGTCTTGAATGCGGCTATGCCCATCATCGGCACAAGACAAGATGCAGGTGCAGAAGAATCGTGCTACATTCGGCTGTGCTCCGAAGTCGAAGCGGTCGACCCCCCCCCCCCTGCACATTCTCAACACCTGCCTTCCATGCCAGGAAGATGGGCTTGGCGGCGATGATGCTTGCGTCCGCGGTGATAAGGATGCTGGCTCCAACCTGCAGGGTTCCAGCTCCATCAGACACCCCCACTCAAGGTTGGAGAGGTTCACTGCTGCACACAGCTGACTCTGGCAGCATAGCTGAGCAAACGGAATTCAAAAGCCTTTTCAGATATTGCCTGGTTCCAAAGACAAACACTTCAGAGTATTCATGAGTATTCCGTCATGCACCAAGATGGGGTATTCGTCCTCAGGGCACTACCAGCCACCCAAAGCCTGGAGGGTGCGCAGCCGACGCATGAGCTTTGAAACGTGGCTGTCGTCACCGAAGAGGTCGGAGGCCAGGCCCATATCCTTCTGCTCCTGGTTTTGCTGCTGGTTTACACGAAGCGACAAGCGAGCATCGACGCCGAGCACCATGTGCTGGGACATGTCCATCTTCAAATCTGTTCCCTGCCGCCTGCCGCCTGAGCCCAAAAGTGCATACCCCTTGATACTCCCCCACTGCTTGCGACATCGCGCGCCAGAAAGAGTTTGCTGAAGAGACGGGCGTAGACGGTCAGCACTTCCATGTTCTCACTCTTGGAAAGAACCTGCAAGGCGCAGGACTGGACTGAGCTCCTTTCACATTCATGGGGTGCTGGAAAGCTCTTGTGGACCACAGGCAGAGCAGCGCAGCCTTGCGAAAGGCTGTTGCATCCAGGTAAAAGAGATGGGCGCCTGAGCCGATGCAAAGTTCTTCTGGGTGGGTGGGGAACCTTGTCCAGAAGCTTCAGGCATCGGAAGCGGCAGTCCAGATCCCTCACCGCATGCTTAAAGTTTACTCAGTCCACCCGAATCCGCCTGGATGTGTAAGCCCGAACTCCCCGTTTAGAGATCCCTAAAGCCCCAAACCCTGAAAGGTCTAGAACATCGCCGGGAACATAGACAGGCCAGCTCTCCAGCCCAGTCGCTGTGGTCCGCACATGCAAGGCGCCCACAGTACTCCAACTGTAGCCAGAGAGTAGCCTGCGGGACCGCTGGAATGCAAGGGTCTGGGAATGCTGCAGATTTGGGCTTTGGGCGACTGCTTGCCGCTTTCCGACGAGCTCCGGGCCGGAGGAGCCACGAGCAAACGGACTTTGAACGAGTCCCACAACCTCCCTGGCTTGTGGAGGGACCTCCCCGACACGGCCCTGTGGCAGGACGTCCTCGCTCTCCTCCCATGGCTCAGGGCTTGAAGACTCAGGCTGAGGCAGATTGCAGGCCCAGCTTAGTTCATGCTTGTGGATCTTGAAACACGTGGCTGAACCTGAGTGCGCTCTTGTCATATAGCGTAGACAAGCCAGACAAGAGCAGCCCTGAGCTGAATCCCTCACCGTCCTTGGGCTTCAGCTCCCACGTGTAGTTCAGGCGCCCGCTGCGGACCTCAATGCACACTGTAGGCCAATCGTCCTCGAGCTGTTATCGACTTTCTAGGCTTCAAGACCTTCAAGATGTTGAGGGGTGTGGCGAGTCGTGCAAGTCAGTCAGGGCCCTGGCTACGGAGCATGACACTTCTGCAAGCTCACACGTCGCAGGAACCCGAGGCGAAGTCCTCTTCTGACGATCTTCGCGCAGCTAATCAATTCGGGCGAGCAAAACATCGACACTGTTCATCACACACAGGCATACGACCGGTGAGAGGCCCCTCAACAGCTCGAAGGTCACATGATCAGGCTGCCTCATCTTGGGATAGGCCGAATTCGCTGAAGATGATGCTGCCCCTCGCAAGATCCCTGCCAAAGAAGAACAAACCCCATCAAACGTCGGGCCACGAAGAACATCTTGTCTCCGATCGCGCCGGAGTGGAAAAGCTCCTGCTGTCCAGCACGGGGAGAGCAAGGGCCGCTGAGAATGGGGAAGTGATGTGGGCAGCCGACATTATCAATTCGCAGGGATCCTATAAGCCAAGATCTAACTAAGTCTTCAGGCTCCTGTGCCGCGCAACATGGCCAAGAGCGTATATGATACTATAAGACTTGACGAAGCCTTCATTGGAAACTGCAGTGCCATGTCACACCTATTTGTGAAGCCGGGCTAAGTGGAGATATGCACATTCGAAGGCAGTACGAGATAGATACATACCACGCCATACGGCATGGCACGGCATGCCATGCCACATCCCCTACCACCGGCTTTCATTTTCATAGCTTTCTCAGGGTCACAAACAATGCGCAGCTGCAACTTGTGAACATACAGTAGAACTTGGTTTCTTTCAGACATGCTGGGGCGCAGAGGCCACGGCGACCGAAGACAAGACTGAATCGTGCCTCGCCAAAGACGGTGCTGACCTCTTTCAATGCCTGTGCAGCGTAGAGGATAGATCCCTGCGAACTTCAGTCCTGCAAAAAATAACTCACACGCAACGTCGGAGAATTGAAGTTGATTCATGATTAATTATCTCACTATGCTTTGCCACTGTGCACTGAAGATTTGTGCGAGGCGCACGGACATGCCAGCACAAACAGTAATCTGCCTTTGTACAGAGGCGAACCGCATCTTGATAGCCAAGACCAGCCTCGGAGAAGCGAACTAGTTGATCTTGAAAAGAAACTATGGATGGTTGCCAGTATAAGGAACTTCGGGAAGTTTTCTTGTAGCTGTGGATTTTCACCTCAAGTTCAGGGCTTGAAGGACAGGAGTGGCATGAGTCCTTCCTACATCCTCACAAATGGCGAGGGCCGGCCGTCATGGCTCTGGTGCCTCCGTAGGGCACCGCCCAATCGCAAGACGCTGCAAGCCCGAAACTTTCGCCAAGTGTCCAGGTGCTTCAGCATGGCGTGAGACTCCAGCACCGGTATGCCAACCTGCCAGGGCTGAGCTTGGACTCTAAGTGGCGATGGAACCCTCCTGACAAAATGGGCTCTGCTCTTCTGCAGTTTTCTGAGAGTTCCCCGTGAGACATGGGAAGAGGTTGCCAAAGTCTGTCTTTCTGGTCACTCCAGTTCCGAATTCAAGATTCTGTGCTTGGATCGGGGATGATCGGGGCTTTAGATGGCCAAACGGGCCCACCTCTTGCTGCAGCTCAGTCAAGAGCTTGGT